CAATGATTTTCACCTAGATTGCTCGTGAATCTACTTAGACTACTCATAGTAAAAACGATGTCTGGTCTCGTACAGCTCATGAGATACATTAAGTTGCATATGACCTTTGCATATTCCATCTGGTGAACACTTTCACCTTGATTTTTTGAAAAAATGTACACATGACTTTATTGGAGTTATAGCCATACCAGAATCATCCTTGTTAAATTTCTCAAGGTTCTTGTCCATATAGTGTGATTGTGTTAGAATAAAGCCTTCAGATGACCTTTTAATTTGGATGCCTAGAATTGTATCGGCCAATCCCATATCTTTCATGTCAAATCTCGAATTTAACATGTCTTTGGTACATTTTACCATTTCATTGTTACTCCCAACAATGAGTATGTTATCAACATATAAATATAGAATCACATATTCTATGTTTATAGTTTTGGCATATACACATTTGTCACACTCATTTATCTTGAAGTCGTTTGTTATCATGACATTATCGAACTTCTCATGCAATTGTTTTAGTGCTTGTTTAAGTCCATACAAAGACTTCACCAACCTACAAACTTTCCTTTCTTGACCTAGAATTACATGACCTTCAGTTTGTTCTATGTAAATTACTTCGTCAATGTCCCCATTCAGGAAAGTTGTTTTAACATCCATTTGATGTATTATAGATTTCACAAAGCGGCAATTGTGAGTATCATTCTTATGGATGTTATTCTTGATACAAGATAGTATGTATCAAATTAGTCAAGGCCTTTCTTTTGCTGGTATCCTTTTATTACCAATCTAGCCTTGTACTTATCAATTTTTTCATATGCTTTCTTTTTTTGTTTGAAAATCCATTTAGAATTTAGTGGTTTAATCCCCGGAGGAAGATCCACTAATTCCCACGTATGGTTTTGCATGAATGAATCTATTTCGCTCTTAATGGCTTCTTTTCATAAGGTGCCTTCAGATGATCGTATAGCTTCACTATATGTTTAAGGTTCAGCCTCCAACATAAAGGTTAAGAAGCCTGGTCCAAAGGATTTTCCAACCCTTTCTCGTTTACTCCTTCTTGGTTTTATCTCAGTTTCAGTCTCTTGTTGATCATCTAGACTATCCTCATTATTAGTCTTTAAGGTTCGTTTTATTGAACTTTGATCAACCTTCTTAAATTTATAAGGGAAAATATTTTTAAATTACAATGCATTCTTTGATTCCATTATTGTGTTCATGTGAATCTCAGGATTATTTAATTCATACACAAGAAATCGATACGCATTGTTATGTTCTGCATAGCCTATGAAAATACAATCCACAGTTTTAGGACATTTTTATTCGCTTCGATAGTGGACCATTACCTTGGCAAGACACCCCCACGTTTTCAAATGTTTGTAGGAAGGTTTCCTACCTTTCTATAATTCGTATGGTGTCTTGTCCTTTTCCTTTCGGTGTACTTTATTTAAAAGGTAGTTAGCTGAAAGGACAACTTCTCCCCACATGTTCTGTGATAACCCAAAACTGCCTAACAAGGCATTCACCATTTCTTTTAGAGTCCGGTTTGTGTGCTCCGCTACTCCATTTTATTGAGGAGAATATGATGGTGTGACTTCATGAATAATTCCATGTTGTGAATAATATTCACTGAATGGTTCAACATATTCACCACCACGAACACTTCTTATCATCTTAATCTTTTTATTAAGTTGGTTTTCAACTTCATGATAATAGAAAACAAATTTATCTATAATATTGCTTTTCCTCTTTTAGCAAATACACATAGCAATATTTTTGCTATCATCACTAGAGTTAATAAAATATTTATTCTCCCTTGTCTGTGTCATTATTACGAATTTTAAAAACTTGATCACTAATAATTCATTAGTACTAACATCTTCTGTTTCGTAGTTACGGTTCGATATCATACATAATTCTTTAGCCATTTTAAACACTGTACACTTCATAACGTTCATCAGATAAGGCTTTGAGAATGTGATTATATCTTAGATAACCATGTTTTCCAAGCTTTGATTCAAGACTTTCAAGAAATAAAGTCAACAATTTATTTCTTTTTACAAGATAGAATCATACTTGATTCTCAAGAAATAAATCAAACTTAATTTCTTTTACAAAATAGAATCATAGAAGATTCTATGAAAATAAATTTAACAATTTATTTTCTTCTACAAGATGAAATCGATCTAGATTTCCAAGAAAATAAATTTGACGTTTTATTTCCTTTTACCAAACAGAATCATATAATATTCATAGGAAAATAAATTCAACAATTTATTTCATTTTCAAAGTTAGAATCAACGCAATATTCTAAGATGAAATAAATTTAAAAAATTATTTCTCTTTCTCCAGTGTTATATCTTCCAAAACATATATATCAAGGCAACTGTATTTTGATTAACATACTTCAAATCTAACCTCAATGAACCAAGGGCGGATGCACTAAGCCCCCTAGGGGTCAAGTGCATCCCTATTATTTAGGGGAAAAAGTGAAATTTAGTATAATATGTCAAAGAAAAAATGAAAATTTTTGCGCCCCTATTATTTTTAAGAAAAAAAATTAAAATTTTGGACCACCATTTATAAATTTATGGACCCGTCACTGCAATGAACAAGGAGATTAGAGTATTAACCCATCGAGTCTTTGGGTATTTTTTTTTTATCAATTTTGGTTATTTCATAGAAGATCAATCCAAAAAATAAAGAAAAATAAAATGTGTATACTTTAATATCGATCTTGCTACTACGAAGAACGAATTGTGAGAAATGCACTTCGGATCACAAGTGCAAATCTACTCCCTAGCTTCTTTTGTTTGATGACGATCATGATTCTCTTTTGATTCCTCATTCATCTGATCCTTCAATTAATATCAAGGAACCTGAGATTGACACCTTATCCACAGTGCATATTCAAATTCACTCAACAATTTCCTATAATACGTTGGCTGAAGGTTATTGATCTTTTATTTATTTATTTATTTTTTTTTTTGCACTCTCAACTCTTAAGACTTTATCTTGATTATGAATAAATCTCCCGATGAGAATTTTCTGCATATAAACTCGAATTACTAAATTATGGAATCTCATGGTTGAAGTGCTTCAATTTTTAGAGTCATGAGTTTAGGGTTTACACAAATATCCTACTTCACCATGTGTATTTATTTTATTTAAAAAAAAAACGTTTTTATTCGAATCATATCAATACAAAATTTATGAAGTAATTTAAGTTTTATGGTCCATAATTAAATCAGGTGCAGTGAATACGAGATGGATTTGCTAATTTTAATACAAAATCAAAGATTTAGATTATCAAGAAGACAGGTTCATGCTCTTGGTGGATGTTTTTGAATTTTTTAATGCATGGGTTAAAATTAATGAACTTATTACTGGTAACATGCTTTCAATTTATTTATTTCCATATGAAATTTAATGCACTGTACATTGTATTTCGCCTGATAATCTTACTGAATAATTTAAAATTAATATTGACAAAGACAAAGACACATTATACTGCACATTATAATCGAGTAACCAATACAACGAGATATCAAAGCTTTCTTGTATTTTTCTCTCTTATTCTTCTCGTCGATCTTTCAATCTTCTGCTTCATCGTTTTGTCGAAACAAAAACATGTCGGAGAGACCCAATCGCCATCGAAGGAGGGCATCGCAAAGCGTCTTTTTGTCCTTGGACGACATCTCGGTTCCCATATCCGATAATGCTACGCATAATAAGGCGGTATCATCGTCCAGCCAAGCGCTGCCTCCTCAGCCGGTTCCTTCCTCGGTTCCGCCTGTCACTACGGTGGAGACGTCTGGAGTTGTGGCCAAAGACGGGGAGAAAGCATACGAGTGTTAGAAAGTTGATGTTTTAAATTAACTCCGTCCTTGTGTTGGAATTCGAGGTTGTTTTGTTTAATTTGTGTTATGTTTTAATCGGAAAAAGAAGGTTTGTTTCATCAGTTTCCATTAAATTAATGTTGAATTCAGCACATTGATTCTGATGGGTCTAAAAATCTACGAAGTGTCACCGACTATAAGTCGTTGTTTTATTAGGTATTCGACTATTAAAAGTTATAAAATGATACTGAGTATAGAGTGTTGCTTTGTTTAGTCCCTCGACTGTTAAAAGTTATAAAACGTCACTCGACTGTTAAAAGTTATAAAACGTCACTCGACTATTTATTATGTTCCAAACACACCTCATTCCGTTAAAAAAATTGAAGGCATTTTGAGTTGAACGTTAACTCAAAATTATATGAATTTTTTTATTTTATCCCTGTCCAAATGTATCCAAAATAATCAAATTTAAATCTAGAAGTTAAGTTCATGTACTTAATTAGATAAAAACAAAATTATTGATTTTACTAAAAAAATAAACTTATATATTGATTTAAATCGAAACAATATATTTAAATATTTAATTAAACAAAATAAATAAATATCAAATTAAATTTCGAAAGGTATATTTACCCAATATTTTCTCCTTATATAAGTAGGTTCTTTTTGCTTTTATTGTTGGGCCACGTTCTAAAGTCCACGTAAACGCATCGCTTAGGTTTATTCTGTCCGTCTTCGGTAAGATCGGTCTAATAGGTTAGACAAGTCAAAAATTGACTGGTTAAGTTATCTGAAATCTACGATAAATATTATAATGTAGAAAAAATTTGTCATATTTACCTAACGAATTTATTTAAATAATATTTTTATTTAAATTTATCATATTGATATGATAAGTTTTAAAAATATATATATTTTTATTAAATTTTATCATGTTGAAATGATAATTTTTAATAAAAACGTGACGAATTTTAACTCATTACGACAAATATCATAATTTTTTAAATAATTTATGTGATATTGTATTGGGCTAAATAAAAAGCCAGCTTACTTGTATGACCCAATTTTGGTCTTCTTTCCCGTTTGAGGATTATTTTCTCAGAAGGAAGTAATGGCCCTAAAAAATATCTCTGAATAATCTCTTCCCATTTTAGTCACTCGTTTTTCTTGCTGAATTCCAGGCTGAGCCTTCGTCTTCCTTGAGACGAAATACAACTCAAAAAGCATACATAATTCAAGGGGAAACAAAAAAAAAACCATGTCTTGCTCTTCATGTTTCAAATGCAACCCTTGGTCTCACCTTCCTCCTCTCCTTTTCTTCCAAAAATCCACTCTTTTCTCCTCTATTTCCTTCTCATCCACTAAACAAAACCAAACCCAATTCCCTCTCTCCCACGACTTCACCCCCACTCAGCTCCTCCACACCATCCGCCGTCAAAACGACGACGACTCGGCTCTTCGCCTGTTCGATTGGGCCTCAAAGCAGCCCAACTTTACCCCAACCTTATCCATATACGAGGAACTCCTCACCAAGCTCGGCAAAAAAGGCTCCTTCGATTCCATCAAGCTCGTTTTACAACAAGCAAAGCAGTCTGGGTGTGAACTTCGTCGTGGTACTTTCTTAATTCTCATCCAAAGTTATTCTGAGTTTGGTTTGTACGATGATGTTCTTGAAGTTGTTGAGATTATGGAGGGTGAGTTCGGCTTAAAACCCGACACCCATTTTTATAATTTCCTTTTGAATATTCTGGTTGATGGGAACAAGTTGAAGTTAGTAGAAACTGCTCATAATGAAATGATTAGTAGGGGGACTAAGCCTGATGTTTCCACTTTTAACATTTTGATTAAGGCTTTGTGTAATGCGCATCAAATTAGGCCTGCTATTTTGATGATGGAAGAGATGTCTGATTATGGTTTAGCCCCTGATGAGAAAACGTTTACCACGATTATTCAAGGGTTTATTGATGACGGTAACATGGATGGTGCATTGAGGGTTAGAGAACAAATGGTGGTTGCTGGTTGTCCGGTTACTAATGTGACCGTGAATCTCTTGGTACATGGGTTTTGTAAGGAAGGTAGGGTGGAGGAAGCCTTGGATTTTATACAAGAGATGACGGCGAATGACGGGTTTTACCCGGATCAGTTCACGTTCAATACGTTGGTGAATGGTTTATGTAAGGCAGGTTATGTTAAACATGCTTTGGAGATCATGGATGTGATGCTTCGTGAAGGGTTTGATCCAGATGTATTTACTTACAACTCTTTGATTTCGGGATTGTGTAAAATTGGTGAGATCAAGGAGGCAGTTGAGATTTTAGACCAAATGGTTTCGAGGGATTGTTCGCCTAACACTGTTACATATAATACTTTAATTAGCACCTTGTGTAAGGAGAACCAAATTGAAGAGGCCACCGAGCTTGCTCGTGTATTTACGAGTAAGGGGATTTTACCTGATGTTTGCACGTTTAATTCTTTGATTCAAGGTCTGTGCTTGACAAGAAATCATAGTATTGCTGTGGAATTGTTTGAGGAGATGAAAAATAAAGGGTGCCAACCTGATGAATTTACCTACAACATGTTGATTGATAGCTTTTGTTGCAGAGGGAATCTAGAAGAAGCTTTACGCCTGCTGAAAGAAATGGAATCGAGTGGCTGTGCTCGGAATGTTATTACTTACAATACACTGATCGATGGGTTTTGCAAAAACAAGAGGGTCCGAGAAGCAGAGGAAATCTTTGATGAGATGGAAATTCAAGGGGTTTCAAGAAATTCCGTGACATATAACACCCTCATTGACGGTCTTTGCAAAAACAAGAGGGTAGAAGATGCTGCTCAGCTTATGGACCAAATGCTAATGGAAGGCTTGAAGCCTGATAAATTCACATACAATTCTTTGCTTACATACTTTTGCAGGTCTGGTGATATTAAAAAGGCGGCGGACATTGTTCAAACCATGACTTCAAACGGGTGTGAACCGGACATTGTCACATACGGAACCCTGATTGGGGGCCTTTGTAAGGCAGGTAGAGTCGAGGTTGCAAGTAGACTACTTAGAACGATTCAGATGAAAGGGATGGTTTTAACTCCACATGCTTATAACCCTGTTATTCAAGCACTGTTTAGAAGAAAGAGAGGTAATGAAGCTATGAGGCTTTACAGAGAGATGTTGGAGAAGGGTGACTCTCCTGATGCCGTCACATACAAGATAGTATTTCATGGCCTTTGCAGTGGTGGAGGACCGGTTGGAGAAGCTGTTGATTTCGTAGTTGAGATGATCGAGAAAGGATTTATACCCGAGTTCTCATCATTCTATATGCTGGCTGAAGGACTTTGTGCATTATCTATGGAGGATACCTTAATTAAGCTGGTTAATATGGTGATCGAGAAAGCCAACTGTTCAGACAGTGAGGTTTCCATGATAAGAGGTTTTCTTAGAATCCGTAAATTTCAAGATGCGTTAGCTACCCTCGGAAACATCCTGGACAACAGAAAGCAGAAGAAATCTTACTGGTCAAGATGAAGCTAGATACTGCTCTCTCAGCAAAACATTGCAAAGAAGAAGCTTCATCGTTCATTGTATGAAGTTGACGTTCAATGTTCATTTAGGGTTCGTAAGTTCCTATCCTGTTGTTAATGGAACATGAAATTATTCACAATTTTGATGGAAGATGAAATGCTTGGACTCTGAATTTAAGAAAATCATTCTACCGTTTTTTGTTCTTTTTCAATGTAGAGCATGAAATTGTCTTCAACCTTCCATGATTTCAGGTAGTGATTCATTATAGTATTCAACCAGCTTGTATCTTTTATCTGCAGATACAGTAATATTTATCATTTCTTCTTGAACTTGATTTATAAAGCAATGTTTAGGATATCTACAAAAACAAATACATAAACCATGATCAATCATTCTTCTATAGAACATGTATAGCTATGAATAATATCTACTGATAATCCAAAACCCAACACCTCTTTGTTAGATTTTAATCTTGTTACTATAGTCTCGCCCAATTCCTTCATTAAACTATTTTTATATGTGCTCTACTCTTCGAGCTTCAAGTTGTGGCTCTCACATTTAGACCTTTCACTCTATTGGATTCTATTATTATGATTTTAAATCGGGTAACCTTAAAAAAATCAACTCGAGAATGTTAGAAGTCATATTGGCAATCGAATTGATGGGCACTTGATAAGAGGTGGCGACACTTGTTGCTGATGTTTCGGAAAGTGAAACTTATAAAAACTGAACAAGGGATGTTCATATTTTGAGCTGTGCCTTCTTGTTGGTCTTCCTTGCTGAAGGAGCTGCACAGAATTCGGGGACTACTGTTAATGCTGTGAGTTTCTTCTACTGCTTTCCGTTCTTATTCATCGACTGTAAATTTTCATCCAGCTGTTTGGTTAACGAGACAATTGACTGCTATTTGAAACTCCTAGAAATTTTTTTAAGATTTTATGGTTTTGCAGAATCATTAAATTGAGAAGTTTAATCTTTTCTTTGGGTTTCAGCAAGGGAACTTGGGAATGATGACGCTTAGGATACTATATGTGTCTTTTGCGATTTTCTCTTTGTTTGCATCATTGGTGGTTCGAGTAATGGGGTCTAAGAATGCTCTGGTTCTGGGAACTACTGGTTATTTGCTGTTCGTAGTTGCAAATTTGAAGCCTTCATGCTAATCACTTGGTGGATCTTTAAAGTTAGCAGAAACAGAAGGAAACTTGTTTTTTCAGGTTTTGAACGGTAATGTAGAGATGAAGTACTGACATTTTGTTAATTTTATTTTTGGTAATACTGGATAAATATCATGTTCTTAACTAGGGATATGTTTGCAATTTCAATGCTGAGTACACCAAGGATGTTGTAAACCCAGCTCGTGGTGAACTCGATGTGGGTGGTGAAATGGCAGTTTATGGGGCTTTTGATGCAATTGTAAGTACTTGACATTATCTCTTTATGGACTATATGCAATTGGATGATTAATTATCTGGTCTGATCTTGTTAATATAACTTCATTATTCAGTGTTCACTAATGGCTGATCGACTCACATCTGGCCCGAGATCAATTCATAGTTTGTGGGGTATCTTTTTTCAGGCAGTGATACTCATCTCATCTGGCTTTCGCTAAATTACAGGTAGAACAATGCAGTCATATAATGCTTTCTACATTTAACTTCGACCCATATTCACTCTGTATCCTACTTACTGCTGGTTATATCGCATGACACTGGTGGGGTGCTCGGCATAATATACCCACTTATCATGGCAGCTTTACTGGGTATCGGTGATGCGTATTGAATATGCAGCTCAGTGCTTGGCTTGCTCTACTGCTCTGTTTATACGACATGCAGTTTAAATTTTTCATTACCTTGATTGGTTTTCTTTGATGCAACTCACCTGTTAGGCCAGAAGTGCAGTTATGGACTTCTAAACCGTAATCACATATGTATATATCAGCCATCTAAGGTAGATTCAACGCCTTATTCTATAAACGAAAAGTAATAACATCTTGCAAGAACTCTGTAACAGTGCAACTCTTTCAACTTTCTATTAAGTAACCAAAGAACAATGCAACTCTTTCAACTTTCTAGTAAGTAACCAAAGAACACGACCGTAGGCATCTATCTTTATGTAATTGGTACTGATTTTCATTTTGAAACTGAATTAATCAGTTTGTGGCTGAAATCCCATAATTCCCTTGCCAAAGCCTCGTCTCTAGCATATGAACTTGGTGTCATCTCATTGCAGTCTATAAAGTATTTCCCGGTGACTCCCTTCAGCCGCGGGTGAAGGGCCACGTAGCATGTCGTAGCTGCACCCTGAACACGGTTTTGAAAGGTTAATTTCGATCTTATACTCGTGAATAAAAAAAATTGGGTTTTACCTGTGGGACATTCTTCCATAGGAAGAAACTGAAGAACTTGAAAAACCCTGCAACAAAAACATGCAGATTAGGAAATAAAGGGTGAAAAGGAAAACAGGGTTTACGAACGGAATTTGTAATGTGAAAATCATTATTCATTAGAATGGCAGTGTGCTTAAACAGAGGCGTCATTATCAATCCTGGATGAACCGAATTTACTGTGATGTTCACACCTTCCTCCTACACGTCATTTAAAAGCCAAAACAATGTTACAACTACTTTTGTAGGCAAATTTCTCGAAACCTTTTAGCCCGTGTTCGAAGTTGGCATTAAAACGACTTGACTCGACTTGATTACATCCTAGTAATAACTCAAACACGGGAACTATATGATCTAATTTAGGTTAGAACAAATGACAGGTCAGTTACATGAGGCAAAGACTACTTGCCGTACAAGCCAAGGCAAACTGCCTTCGTCCGACTGAATTACCTGCAATCGACGAGAGAGTTCATTGGCATGCAATATATTTGCTAATTTGGACTGTCCATATGCTCTTTTGTCATTGTAACTGAAAAAGTAGATCAGTTATTGATGGAACACGATTTTAGCAGAAAATCTTGTAATAGAACTCAAATCAAGCAATGCGTACCCTTGTTTAGAATTGATCTGATCAAATTGGATCCCATTTTTATAGCAATGGGTGTGGGCTATTGATGATAAGTTCACAATCCTTCCTTGAATACCACTAGCTTTCACTGTGTTCTTCATTTTGTCTAAAAGAAGCTCTGTTAAGAGGAAATGCCCTGAGAAAATATTGCAGCAAAGAAAATGGAAGAGTTACTACTAATTTCTTGGAACTTACCAATATGATTAGTTGCAAACTGAGCTTCTATTCCGTCTTGAGAAAGATGAAAGGGACAGAACATGATCCCAGCATTGTTTCTGAAGACAGACAACGTTGTAAAACTCCTGTTAATTGATTCCTTAAAAAGAATGGTGGTTTAATTTGGGTGTTTAAAATTACATCAAGATATTGAGAGGAATATTAAGAGCCATGAAATTGTCTGCAAATGCTCTGATGGATTTAATGGAGCAAAGATTGAGCTCCAAGACATCAACACGTGCGGTTGCGGTTTCTGCAAGAATGATCTTTTTGGCTTCATTAGCAGCTTTCAAGTTCCTCGCGCCGATGATTACATGAACACCTCGAAGAGCCAATACTCTTGAAGTCTCCAACCCAATTCCACTTGCTCCACCTGCAATTTACCACTTCAAAAGAATCAAAACGTTGCAGAAAAATGGTTACGTTGAAACTCAAAACATTACCATAGTTGTTTATAGGAAGTTGGAAAATCTAGTTTCGTCAGCCGCTGACGGTTCACCTTTTTAGTTTGGGTGAAGAGCTGTGACTAGTGAAATGACAGTCGTTTGATCAACAGTGACGGTGAAAGCTCCGATAAACGAAGAATTCTTTATAGAGGTTTGGGATAACTTTCTCGATATCACAGTAAAAAAACAAAAACCCTAAAACTTATATATATAAACGAAGTGAGAGAGAAAATGCCATAGCCAACCTGTTATTATAGCAATGAGGTTGGTTCCATCGATGCCTTGAGTAACCTCTTCAGCAGTAGAACCTGAACCGAAGCCGCTCGGACCAGGCCAACCTGTTACCAACGAAATGAAACCAGACATTTTCTTGTTTTTTTTTAATCAAAGAAGGAAAGATTTGGTTGCTTTTCTTGGCAATGAAAACAGAGAATAAAAAGGAGCAGATGAAGGAAGGGAATGCGTGGGTAGTTTATGGGTTGGGGGATGTGTAGGTGAAGGACAGTTAATACTCCCAACGAACCATAAACTGTTTGCGTATGGAAAGTTGAATTGAAGTTGGAGCATGCAACATTTCCTTGTCATCCCACTTTGTTATGGGTATTCATAAACACCACTCATGTCAAATGCAGTGTGTACCCAGAATCTTGGATGCCCTTTCTTTTCCCATTTTCTTGCATTGGAACAGGACTTTATTGGCTTATAGATTTAATTGGTAGAGATGTGACGAGCTGTGTATAAAATAAAGTTTGAAGTTTTAACTAACAAAAGGTTGGTTGATGTGGTACCGACCTCAACTCCCATAAGAACATAAAAGCATTAATATAAACCAACTAAAAAGTGGTCAATAGCCGAGATTACGAATAGAGAAAATAGGGTTAGGGTCATTCTTATATTGAGTTTTTATAATATTTGATTAGACTAATCTATTAATAGATCGAACAATTTTGAGAATAACTAACAATCAGTAGGCTTAATGGGATTAGACATTGAATCTCTTATATAAGATTAGGGGTTTGAATATTGATGTTGTGAATGGAGCAACCGAGTTTAAGGGTCATTTCTATAATAGGCCTATGCAATAGTCAATTTGAATTAATTAATGAATAGATTAAACACCATTGTCCAGGGATGGACCACGGGAACAGGTGGGACAGTCGTCTCCTTAAAAGTTTAAAATATTAATTTTTTTAATATACTTTCTACTGAAAATCTATTTTCATCCCCTAAAATTTTATAAATTCATCAATTTCTAAAATTTTAGAATTTATCCCTATAACATAAAATCCTTTTAGTTTGGTTTATTAAAAAAATGTTTATAAGTAGCTATATAAATTTGACCAAAGTCCACCACCCTCACCCTTTTATCATCGTCTTCTTTTCAATTTTCACCCTTTCTTGTTTGTATTTTCTTTGCCTTTGCATGTTTATGTATAGAAGTGGAGCTCATGATGAGTTATAGAGAGATACAAGTCATATTTATAATAGCCATATATTATGGTTCAGTGTGTATTTGACAATATATTGTTAGTGATGTTTTCGATAAATAAATATATCATAATTATACTTAAAAAATTAATTTCGAGACTCAAAAGTATGATTCTCTTATAAAAATTTAAGAGAACGATAATCTCGTCAATTTCTTCGATTTATCTTATCATCATATTCTCTCTCCTTTTTAAGAAAAATTGATTTTAACTTAATTCATGTTACTATTATTATTGAATTTATCTTTTTTCATTAATTAATGTTAACCTATTATCCTTTTAAAAATTAAGGGTTTTATAAGTTTGTATTATGTGATCTGAAATTCATCATCAAATGATCGATGAAAAATAATTCTAAGTTGAATTTAATATAAGGGTAAATTGCCTATTTCGTCTACCACTTATTATTTAGTTTTTGTTTTGGTTATCTAATTATTATTATTATTTTAAATCATACTTAATGTTATATTTTAATTCTATTTTAGTCATCCGTCGTTAAAAATGTAATAATAATGCTGACATGATATCATAAGGTAATATCATGTAAAAATAATTTAAAAAAATAGCACATCAGCATCGTCATTAATTTTTTAATGACGGGTGACCAAAACATAATGATAGGTATTATTTAAAAAAATAATAGTTGAGTGATCAAAATAGAAACAATGTGATAGTTAGATGACAATAGATAATTATTTAAAATTTATTTTACACTCTAATAAATTTTGAGAATTTATTATAGATAAAAAATTGTATTAAATATAAAAAATATTTAATATTAATATTAAAATCAATATCAATATTGAATATTGAATATATTAAATTAATTTTAAATATTTTAATATTGAAATATTTTTCATTATTTTAGTAGTATAAAATAATATTGAATTAAATTAAAAAGAAGAAACAAATAAGGGTTAATTTCATGTTAAGTAAAGAAAATGTAGGGACTAAATTCAATAAAAATAAAACATGAGAGATTTAACATGGAATTTACCCTCAATTAAAATTAGCATAATTTTTTAGAAAAATTGCCACATGGCACATTATAATTGGTCTATGAAGCTTTTTAACGGTTAAAGAAATTTGAGACAACAAGATTAAGTTTGAGAACTTTAGGGCAAAACATCATAAAAGTATTTTAGAGAGTAATTCGGAAAAAAAATACAGTTTAGGTGCAAAACATATAGAAAGTATTTTAGGGAGCAATTCGGTAAAAACAGTATAGTTTAGGGGCAAATCTACATTTAAGCCATAAAAACTTTAAAAGCGTAATTTGAAGAAGAAGAATTGACGAACGCGAGGGGCTCAATCTCCAAAGAATGTTTGAATGGTGTCGCTGGCCTTCTTTTTCCACATCAAATTTTAGCCTCCCATTATTATTTATATTTTTAAAAAATTCTTCTCTTTTTTAGATAATTTTTCCTAAATTTTGTTTTATAGCTGCATTTCTCTGATTTTTTTTTTCCGATATAATTCTTTCTTTTCTCCCATTAACCGAATCCGATTCACGTCGGATTCAAAAATGGCGGCAACGAGACGGTTACGCGACCTCCAATCGCAGCCAGGTAATGGAACTTGCGTCGATTGCAACCAAAAGAATCCCCAATGGGCTTCGGTTTCCTACGGTGTTTTCATGTGCTTAGAGTGCTCCGGGAAACACCGTGGCTTAGGTGTCCACATCTCATTCGTCCGATCCGTTACCATGGATTCATGGTCCGAGATCCAGATCAAGAGAATGGAATCTGGCGGTAACAAGATGCTCAATTCTTTTTTGGCTCAATACGGGATCCCTAAAGAAACCGATATAGTTACCAAATATAACTCCAATGCTGCCAGTGTTTATCGTGATCGTATCCAAGCCCTAGTCGAGGGCCGCCCGTGGAAGGACCCACCCATTGTGAAAGAGGCTCTCAACTGTGATTGTGGTAGTAAAAGGCCGTCGTTGAGCGGTGGTGGTAGCAGGGGCATTAATAATATTAATAATATCAATAACAATAATAAAGGATGGGACAGTTGGGATGATGGCGAATCTTTTGGCTCTTCGAATGATATGAGGAGGAATCAATCGGCGAACGATTTTACAGGAGGGAATAAGAATGGCGGGGAAGCGGGAGGTTGTCCCATGAGATCGAGGTCCACGGAAGATATACACACGAGGAACGAGCTGGAGGCTTTGGCGGCGAACAAGGAGAGCTATTTTTCGAGGAAGATGGCAGAGAATGAATCTAGGCCTGAAGGGCTACCACCTTCCCAAGGAGGGAAATACGTTGGGTTTGGATCCAGTCCTACGCCTACCCAGAGGAAAAATGATCCTCAGGGGGACGTGCTCTCTATTGTATCTCAGGTTAAGATATTATTTCTTCTTCTTCTTCTTCATTTTTTTTATTTATGAAATGGGTGATTTTTCATTTTGTGATGATAGATAATTATTTGTTATTGGTTGAATTTGTTTGTGGTGCAGGGTATTGGGATGTTATCATTAGTAGCAACATCCGCAGCCCAATCTGCTGCTAGTGTTGTCCAATCAGGAACCAAGGAGTTAACCACCAAGGTATTTTTCGGTTAAACTTCAACTTCAGCTCCATAACCGGCTAATCTAAATCTGATATTTTAAAGTCGAGGCGAAAACGATCTTCTAACCCAGTTTATTTCATTCGTAAATATCAAAGTTCAAACACCTAACTTTATTTAGAAGATTTAATGTCTTATTCTACTAGAACAACCTATACAACACTTATTATACAGAGAAAACAGCAAACCCAGCCCTTATACAATATTTATTTATAAGGAATTCTATTGACAGGATTAACTCTACTCAATAACTTTACTCAGAGACAATCCTATCACTCACATCTTATTTTTTCCTTACCACAATGAACAATAGCCTCTTTCTGTAAAGCCTTTTGCTGAAAAATTCGCAAATTCATCTCCCTCCACACATGATAAATATAAGAATTTTATACTATGTTCAAGATAATAGCAAGTAAGGATTTATCCTTAAGGCGATTAACCGTCCACACAAGCTCTTAATTTTAGTCCTTAACATCACACTGCAAATAACAAACCTGAAGAACACCTGATATATAGTTTTAAAGAAAAAGCAACCAAAAAGGATATGATCTCTAGACTCAGGCTAACTTCCAGAGAACACATCCTACGTCAACACCAACATCAAAAGAAAGCAACATGTCCTTAGTAGAAATTGTACCAAGTTGTACCAGTACACCATACCAAGTTGTACCAGTACACCTTGTCCCTCCTATGCCGGACAACATCCCAAACCTTAGCAAGAGTGGATTTAGGGTAAGAGAAATCCAAGTGCACCATAACGGCCCTCTGCTTTAACAACCTTCTCCAAATCCATTGCTCGTTGCTTTCACGCTCACCTGCCAAAAGTTGAACCCTTAAGCAACCCTCAGTTCTCTACTTATTTGTGCCCTTTTAAATGTTCAAAAACGTGTTGCTGTTTTTGTGGCATTTCATTTGGCTAAGTTGTTGATGCTATAGTTATAACATGATATATTTTCTTTCCTTGTAATGTTGTTTGTAAGTATATGGTATTGAAATTACATTCATCGGGCATGTAGAGGCGAATGCACACGACATTCAGGGTAGACAAGTATTCATTTGTGCCCTGAAATTTTATTTATGTTCATCTCGCATATAAAATTTTTGTATTGTTAATATATACATGCCCGTCTTAAAAAATATTTATAGATCCACAACCAGGAACATGATGCATCATTTTGTTCAGGTTAAGGAGGGTGGCTATGATACCAAGGTTAATGAAACTGTTAGTGTTGTCACAGCAAAGACAACAGAGATTGGGCAGAGAACATGGGGGATCATGAGAGGAGTCATGGCCTTAGCTACACAAAAGGTCGAGGAGTACGCGAAAGATGGCATGAACTGGAACAACGATAATTGGCAGCAAAACGAAATCGAGAAGAACAGATCCGATGGTGACATTAACCGGGGGAACAAAGGATGGGATTCTACTTCTGGAGGACAATCCTCCTCCGGTGGGAATCATAACTCTCATAGCTCAAGTTCTTGGGATGATTGGGAGACGAATGACAAAAGGATGGACCAAGGTACAACAGAGGTGACCGCCATAGATGGTTGGGCTGGCTGGGACAATGCCAAGGATGGTGGATTTGATCATTTCCACGATGGTGTTCCTAATAAAAGGGTTGTTGCTCGCAATGAAAAATCAGATGCTACCTGGTCAGGTGGAGGCTTTCATTAAGGTTAATTTTCTTCTACATTTCCATACTAATTAGTATTAGATTACTAGTAGTTTCTATTTTTGTGATCTTATTTATGTTTTGCAATGCATAAATGAAATTCTATGATACATGGCCAGGTTGAACTCGAACAGTTATCTGAATTACCAACAAAGGCTAACAAGTAGTGCCGCTGAGAAAATCGTTGGTGAATGGCTTCTGGTGAAGTTAGTACATCTTTAGCAAACTCTTTTTTCCTTTTTATCTTTCAAAATGTTTTACTAATGTAATTTCCACGTCTGAAAGTAGTTTTATATTTTGTAGAGAAAGGGCAAATTGCCCAAAATTGGAAAGAGGATTGGTTGTAATGAAAAACAGTAATTGTGAAATGAAACTTCAAAATTGCTTTGAATCTTTTACCAACTATATATATTTTTATTTTTCATATTTTTTTACTATATTTAATTTATAACTAATTTAAAATGATTGGGATGCATTTGGTTTTTTATAGGACCATATGTATCCGCCCATGACTTCACAATCAACCGGTCCACCAGTAAACAAAATAACCACTCTCTATGATAATATCATGGTGGATGGTAGGAAATAAGATTACAGTGAATCACTACGTCAGCATTATGAATTTATATTATTATCTTGACAAAAATCTGATAAATATTATGAAATAAACGCCCCTAACTTTACAATCAACTGATTCACAATCAGGAGAGACCATTTGAACAATTATTTTTTAAAAGTTTTAAATTATCATTTATATCTTTTTAACCTAAAATCTTATAAATATCCATGATTATAACAATCAACATTCAATTATGTTTTTTTAAATTTAAAGATCACGTAGTAAATGAAAAATATTAAAGGTTACAATATTTTAATTATTTATATAAAAATAATATTATAATTATTAATTTATATCATTATCTTGATAAAAATAAAAAAAAATCTGAAGGGGGAATTGCCAAATCTAATGAGATTTTCACATGAAATTTTGAGGTTAAATTTATTGAAGATAAAAGTTGCCAGGACATTTTAATAGTAAAAAATGAACATGAACGTAACCATATTATGATAAAATAAAGGGTAAATTACACAAGTGATTACTCAATTATGGTCAAAAATCATTTTTACTAATATTTTAATTTGATCAAACAGATCATTCAACTATTTAAATGCTTCAATCAAGTCACCTATCATTAACCGTTAATAGAAGAGGTGACATAGCAATTAAAACATTTTGGTATAATTACACAATTGATCCATGTTACTTACATATTCTTTCAATTTGGACCTATTTTAAAAATTAAAGGCTAAACTATACAATTGACCACTTAATTATTTAGCCCTTTTACTTTTGCCACCGATCTTTCAATTTTGTCAATTACACCACCTAACTATTTAATCTGTTCAATCAGTACACTATACGTTAATATTTGACGGAAATGTTATTGTGGCAGTTAAAAGAACTGATATATTTATACATTTAGGGTGTGTTTGGTTGGGGGAATGTGAGATTCCCATGGGAATGGAATCCACATTCCCCGTTTGGTTGGCTGGGAATGTCATTCCCAGTAATCTTACATTACCAATAGTGGATTTTTTGGAGTATATTACCGGGAATGTCATTACCTCCCTTTCCTTATGTATTGTTGGATTACCGACGTTTTGGACTAAAATGCCCTTAAAAAATTCTTTCAAAAATATCCTTATTCTGTCATTGAATAATAAAAATTCTACGAAGGTTAAATTACAAATTTATCCTTAAACTATTTTAGATTTACAAAAAAAAAATCTATAATTAAAATTTTATATGAAGTTCAGGGGTTAAAATCAAATTTTACCCTTTCATTAAAACCTTTTTATATTTTCAATTTTGTAAAAAAATAATATATATAAATATTTTCGAACTTGTTAAAAAACAAATATATAATAAAGACAATTTGGTTAAATATACATTCCAATAAACTTTTCATCCTTTAACCAAACACGATAATCTTACATTCCTGCTAAATCAACCAAACACAAAATAAAACATTCTCAGTAATCCTATTCCCTGACAATCTTACATTCCGTGAACCAAACGCACCCTTAGTCCTTAATATTTATACTCAATTTGCTCCTAATTTAAATTTAATTTAATGAATTAACCATTCAATCAGGATCTGGCAAGTGTCAGCATAGGATCATGACACTTGTCATTAGTGACACGTGTCAATACATGATTGGAGGATTTTATTTATTTTAATTTTAATTAAATATTTTTTCTATCCAATCTGAAGGTAACATGTATCACCACCCGATTGGATATAAAGTAAAGGAACATGAAATTGCACTAAAGGGGAATCAAACCAGTGTACATAAGGGAAATGGAGAGTGCCCCAACCAACCACTGAACCAAAGGTATCAATGGTTTAAAACTTACAACAAATTTTATTTATTCTTTAAAAGCTTGTTAATGGTAAAAAAAAGTAAAAATAAAAAGAAATTAGAATTAGAACCTAGACAAATTTTAAAATAAAATATTTTAATAAATTGTTAATTATAAAAATAATAATTTAAAAGCTTTAAATCGAAATTGTAAAAAAAATAAAAGATAAATTTAAAAGTTGCTAAGGTCATACATTGAGAATATAAAATTTATTTTAATAACAAATATGATGACGTTAAAATTATGATTATTTTAATATAATAGAATTAAAATCATAATTATAAAAATCATGATTATTTTAATATAATGGCATTAAAATACCGATTATTTTAATATAATAACGTTAAATTTTTTTAAAATTTTAGAAGTGATGTTAACATTAATTAAAAAAACTCGCTATTAAATATTAAAATTAATTAAAATACCTTATATCATGTATCACATCTTGATTGAAAATTTAATTCTTTGAATTAAATTCAAATTGTCAATGATGTAATTGACAAAACTAAAAAACTGATGACAAAAATAAAAAATAAATAAATAATTAAGTGATCAATAATATAGTTTATTATAAAATTAAAATAAAAATATTCGATATTATATATTTTGATTTCAATGACGAAAAACAAAAAAAATTAAACAAAATAACCAATCTCATAGTTTACCCACATTTTAAACATTATATTATTGAGAAAATAATCTCAGTGACCGAAAATGTCTTATAATATACGATTTTAATCAACTTTTTTTGGATTTGCGAAAATGATCAACAAATTCGCAACGCGAACTCCTATTTCGCAACCCAGTTTCCAAATTCGCAATACGATTATGTAAATCGCATTGCGATTTTCCAAATTCACAACGCGAATTTGTAAATTGTAACACAGAAGTCAAATTCGCAACACATAAGTCAAATTCGTAACACATAAGTCAAATTCGCAACACAGAAGTTAAATTCGCAACACTGGATTTCAAATTCGCAACTGAATTTCAAATTCGCAACTCGATTTTCAAATTCGCAACACGAATTTAATTTCGCAACAGGTTTTAGTTTCGCAACACAAATGTTTTGGGTATATAACTACGCAGCAGCAGCAACTCATAACCTAAATCCCTAAATTGCAACTCATTTTATCTCCATCTATCACTCTCTCCGGTGACATCCGTTCCTATATCCAACGACATCCTTCCCCATCTCTAATTTTTTTTTACATAATTTTATTTCTATACAATTTTTCAATGATTTCTCTCCCAAATTATCAACTATTAACTTAATAAAGATATGTTTTTCTCTAAGTTAGTGTTGATATCTAGTTTATAGCTCGTTTGTTTAGTAAATTAATTTACAATTTGTAGAATGAAATCATCTAATGCTGATCATGTTTGGATAGATTTGTGTTTTGGAAGGTCATGGGAGAATGTTCATGGTGTTTTACAATATGTGCATTTACCCATGAATCTTCAACTAAAATTGTCATTAAAAAAATTAACTTATGAAGCTCTAATGTTACGTGTTACAAAAAAATTGAATTTAGAGCCTCTAAGTGGATTTAGGCTATCTTATCAGAAAAAAAGGTAAAGTTTATTTGTTAACCGACAATGAAGATGTTGAACGATTCATTGCTTACATTAGTGTTTCGCAAGATGATGTTACATTGTATGTTGTTGAACCTAGAAGTAGTGAAGTTGGGTTAGTAGCGTGTAGTAATCAACTCAGTTCTTCAACCCCAGTTTATAGTGCTCACAATGTACAACGTTGTTATCAACCTCAAAATTTAATGGTTCCACCACAATTTCATCACCAAGAAAATTTTGTTTCACCATATTTCCAATACCAAACACAATCTCAAAACCCACAACCTTTTCCTAATCCAAATCCCAATCAACTTTCAGCACAAAATTCATGTTTTCGTATTGACCAGTTAGACGATTATGAGCCAACAGAAAAAATTATGAGTACTAGTCAGTATTCGAAATTTGATCTTGGTCAATACCCGGACTTTGATCTTGGTCAATACTCGGATTTTGATTATGTTTCAGAAGAAGAAATAGACCCTGCGTGTAATGATTTTGATATTGGTCAATACCCGAATTTTGATGATGAAACAGCCGTTGCCGAGGAAGATGTTGTTGATGATAATGAGGAAGAAGTTACGAATGTGAATGAACATGTTGAACATCCATTCTGTAATTCATATAACCCTGAAGAAAAAAAAGAAGAAGAAGAAGAAGTCCCCGAAGAAAAGAAAAAAAAGAAGTATAACTGGAATATGCCAGAATTACTTCAGATACCAGAAGAAGAGTTGGTAAAGATAGCAGTTGATTGTTATACAAAAGTTATTAGTATCAAGAAAGATGATTGTTTTGATACAAAGGAAGACTTGAAGATAATTTTGTATACGAAATGCGTGGAAGATGGCTATCAACTAAAAGTTAACAAATCAAGCAAAGATCGTTTCGAAACAAAGTGTATGATTGACAAAAACTATACGTGGCGTATGATTACAAAGAGGATAAAAGATTGCGAAATGTTTCAAGTTAGGACTTTTATTGATAAATATACATGTTCAAGAACCCAAGTTTTTCCTTACCATAGACAGGCAAACAAAAAGGTGTTGGGTGGTTTTCTGGCTGAGTTAATGTTTATGAATGGCAGAGTATATCGGGGACATGAAATTATGACTGACATGAATGCTCGGTTCAAGATTAGTATCTCATATTCTCAAGCTTGGAGAGCCAAATATTATGCCTTGGAATTGTTGAGGGGGTCTCCAGAAGCATCGTTTTCCCAAATGTCGGCTTATTGTCACAATTTAAAGCTGAAAAATCCTGGGTCGGTAACTCATATCAAAACAGTTAGAGATGGACGCATTGAGTTGTTGTTTATCGCCATTGGTGCTGCGATTAGTAAATCAATATAATTTTGTTGACTCATTTTTGTTAGTTACATGCATTTCACATTTAAATGATTATATTTCTTGTGTATATTATTTTGTAGATTCGTTCGTTTATTACTTGCATGCGCCCAGTTATTATAGTTGACGGAGCACATTTGAAATGTCGATACCTTGGAGTAAACTTATTAGCAGTAGCCATGGATGCTAACAATGGGATACTGTCGATAGCTTACAGGGTTGTCAAATCTGAAACCTCTGATTCATAGACATGGTTTATGGGGCATCTTAGGGATTACATAGGTCCTATTCGCAATCTGACAATCATATCCGATAGGGCAAACTCAATTGACAACGCTGTTAGAAGGTGTTTCCCAGATGCTTTTCATGGACTTTGTGGTGTTCATTTGTACAGAAATCTAAAACCAAGGTCTGCTGGTATAAAAAATCACAAATGGACATACTGGAAGGCTGTAAAAGCTTATCGGGAAGTTGATTTTAATAAGCATATAAATTGTTTAAGACATGTTTTTCCTCAATGTGCTCAAACACTAGAAGATGTCGGGTTTGAAAGATGGTCAAGAGTACATCAACTTGGAGCAAGATATGGTTTCATGACGTCTAATAGTGCAGAATCAATCAACGCTCTAAGTTGTCATTCCCGAAAATTACTTATTACTATGTTAATGGAGTTTTTTCGAGCCTCTATTCAACCGTGGTACTACAAGAAAAGAAACCATGCAGGTATTATTTCTTTAAATTCGTAACTTATCATATATTTTACTAAGTATTATTTATTTAAATTTACAGGAACATTAGAACGTCGTGTTACACCATTGACTGAAAAAAAGATCACTAAACGTGTTGTGAAGTCCACGTCATGGAGAGTTGAACCATGTTCAAACACTTTGTTTGAAGTATTGGATAATAACTTAAATGAGCTTGTCGATCTAAATGTAAAAACGTGTAGTTGTATGAAATGGAAAACATCTGGTTATCCGTGTGGTCATATTATAAAAGTTGCTCTTTATCTAAACCAAGATGATTCAAGTGCATACGCTATGGATTGCAACACTACAGAAGTATATCGACATACTTATGCCGAGATTGTCTACCCTATTCCACATCCTTCTGAGTGGGACATACCGAATGACTTAAAAACAGTTTTTCCACCAGTCATGTACAGCAGGCTACCTGACCGACCAAAAAATCATGATCGTATACCGTCTAAGGGTGAAGAGAAGATAATATCGATATGTATTCAGTGCAACGAAAGTGGTCATACAAGGTTGACCTGTGGATCACCAATGCCATCACAATCATCTTTTCCTCTACCAAAATATGGATCATCATCAAAATCCAAAGCTCATATGGTGTCAAGCAAAACGAAATCAAAATCAAAATCCCAATCACAACCGGCTTCACCTTTTGGGACTTATTAACTTAGGTGATTTTTAAATGCAAACTTTGTATTATGTGTATTTATGTGAATGCATACATTTTCAGTTAGACATTCATTAGTAACTTGAGTTTGAACATTGCTATGATCTGTTCAGTTGTTATCACTTATCATATTGTTGTCTGTTATCTTTTTGAATGCGTTTTCCTTGAATTCGCAACGCGAAAGTCAAATTCATGTTGCAATTTTTTGTTGCGAAAGTTAAATTCGCAACGCAAAAGTAAAATTCACAACGCGAAAGTCAAATTTGCAAACCAAAAATCAAAATCGCAACGCGAATTTGAATTTCGCGTTGCGAATTTAACTTTAACGTTGCGAATTTGACTATCGCAACGTGAAAATCGCAATGCGAATTTGACTTTCAACAGTCTTTTTTACCTTCAACATAATGCAGATTGAATTTAAACAAATCAACTTTTACAAATCAATGAAACAAGTAAAAAATAATTCTTATTTACACATCAATTAAACAAATCAACTTTTACAAATTAACTTTTATAAATCAACAAGAAAAAAATAATTCTTATTTCCTCAACAAATCAACTTTTACAAAGAGAACAAATCAATGTAAAATTCAATTAAACAAGGAAAAAGTGTATCCCATACAGTTGTCTATGCACAAATACATCAATTTCACACAGCTCACGTCAAGAATAACCTGCAGAAACCAAACATTTGCTCAAACAACACTTTCTACACATCTAAAACCAACAAACATCAAATTATTGAATTCTAGGTACTTAACCAAACATTTTCAAACCAACAAAGAGTATATATGTTAGCAACACTTGCTCAAACTTACCAATTGTTTATGCAAACTTTTAGCACGCGGATGCAGGTAAGCAACGTCTCGCATATATCGCTCGAACCATAAAATGCCGAAAGCATAAGCCTACTGCAACTCTATCTCTATCTGTGGGAGATAGAAGGTGTTTACTTCCTGTCGTCAAACGCTCCAAGCACATGCATACAAGAGAACCACAATCCCCTCTGGCTCCCTCCGTTTGTTGTGGCGCGGTATCATCTCTGATCATTATAACTTTGAACTTTTTTGGCTTTTTGTTTCCAGAATTAGTCCAATAATCAATCGCGTCCAAGCATTTCGCCAAATGAGCGCTCCATCCCTTACAAATAATATCTCTCAAATCAGACAATGGTATGTAATTCAACATGTTGTCATATACCATTGTCTTCATGTATGAGAGCTGAAGCTCGACGAGAAGCCAATGACGACTTTCCAAAACATGGATAAACACCTGTAATCATAAATAATTGCGCACATCAAATAAAATTTATGAAATCCTTTAAAATATTCAAAAAATAAATACTAACCTTATCGACCTCCCACCACGCAGGATAAAGTTTAGATTTTCCATTACCCAACGTATATGAAGCATCTCTCGGATCCTTCAAGTGAGCTACGTGAAAAGACGTCGGCATAATAGTCCATTGAGTATTTCTTATTTTCCTCAATTTTCTTATTATTAGAAGACGTGACTCCCATGCATCAATATGTTGTTTTATAAAAAAATACATATATTAGTGAATTTATTAATAATTTTAAAAAAATTAATCAAAATGCAATATAAGAAGAATATAAGACTTACCACCCCTTCGAGATAGTCATTATCTTCAACCCCTAATAAAATACCCCACCAAGACCGATCAAGAAACAAATGCATAAAATCGTCGAGTTTGCATAGGTCAGAATAACACCCCTTGCTCTGCTCATGTAGATAAAAATCAACTGCGGTCTTAGCCCAAAGGGTATTATCCGCAATTGTGTTTGGTAGTGTTTCCTTCTCCTGCTGAGGAATGGTACTGGCCGGTAACACATACGAAAGCCAACTCGCATCAATCATATCGGGCACGGGAGGGGGTTTATCAATATGTCGACATATGACGCCATGTGAATCGGGCTCTTGAACGGCGGGCGGAACCTCTTGAACGATGATAGGGGCCTCTTGAACGGTGGGAGGGACCTCTTCAATGATGAGAGGGGCCTCTTGAACGATAGGAAGTGCTTTTTGAACGATGATAGGTGTATCGGACTTCTTCTTACGGAGTCTTGGCACTAGTGGAGTGAACGGAGATGTAATGACACGTGCATGACGTCTGATGCGTGAACCCCATCGTACAAGAAAAACCCGACGTAAAACATCTACCTTATCGGGCCCGCTGAAAATAAATTAATACATAAATCAGTAAATAAATAAATAAATAATGCCGAAAAAAGGTTATTTGCATTTTTAGTATAGTATTAAACAAATTTACCTCATTGCGTAGAGTATGAACCTCATTCTACAACGGTGAAACAATCTCGCGTAGAGCGGCAACCTCATCACGTAAAGTAGATACCTCACCACGTAGCGCACCATTGTCATCGCGTAAAAAATCCACCTCCCCACGTAAAGACCGAACCTCATCACGCCATGCACCATTGTCTTCACGTAAAGTACCGATCTCATGACGTAAAGCACCGACCTCATCACATAACTCCCCTAACTCTTCCCGTGGAGGTGGAGAACAGGGAGTTAAATGTTGTGGCCTCTTTGTCGGTCATCTATCATGAGGTGATGGTGGAGAAGAGGCTCGATGATGTGATGGAATAGGTGATGGTGGAGGTGGAGAAGAGGCTCGATCAGGTGATGGCTCCGGGTGTCGAGCTGTAGAATCGGCCCGATCAGGTGATGGCTCTCGAAGTGGGGGGTGCTCATTATCCGTCCCATCAAAAAATCGCTTACTAGCTTGCCACCAATCAGTGGCAAGCTCAGCCTCTGTGGGTGTCAGTCTCTGTAATGGATAGTTGGCCTCCTAACAATATAAAAGCTCAAACAAAGTTAAATGTGTATTAGTAAAAACTTGTTTATATATGGTATTATTTGTGTGTTAACTTACATCATTCATCGTCGTATATGGGAGTAACTCTTCCCAATCCAACATGCGGATCCTCTTCTAGGTAATAACCCTAGGAATATCATTTGATTTTTTTATCGCATATGTCCGCATGCTGGGGAAAGCCTCAAATATCTAAATCTACAAACAATAATATAATACACAAACATTAGTAATTGTTAAATAATTAATTATAATTTTGGAAACATTATATAGAAATTCTTACCTTAAAGGCTCAAGTAAAGCCTGTCAAAGTGTATTTAGAACCATCGCCCCCCAAACTTTTTCGATCCTCAAAGGCAGACGACAACTTCTTCCAGGTTGCTTTCCATAGATATGAACCCCACGGAAACAGGTTCCATGCATTTAGGTCCTCTACCAATAATATTAGGTCCTGAGAGATAGATTGTATGCCCTCTTTGCCTAAAAAGCCGGCATGCAAAAGTAATAAATAGCATACTCGGACAACATCAAGGTCATCCATCCGAGTAAAACCATCTTTAACAAATAATCTCTTCAAGTCATCGACGTGTAAACTCGACTTCGACTTTGCCAGCTCAGGAAAAAACCGAGATAAGCATGATAGGCGGGAGATATGACTATTGTATCGGGTTACATCATCGTGTCCGAAGCGTAGACCAGTGATTAAGCAAAACTCCTCCCGCCCAAAACAAGTATACGCCGGAGAAAAATGAAACTATATCTCTTCATCACCACGTTGTATCCTCTCGGGTAGATCGTTAGTCATGGTCTGAATAAACAAATGTGTCAACATAGCATCTCCACCCAGATGTTGTACTTTCAGCCATGGCCCGAAGCAAGTATCCTCAAACAATTTTCTTTGTAGAGGTGTAAGCGTTGACACAATTTTAGTGGCTATGCTTAATTTATTCCTTAAGGTCAATGCAGCAGAAAAAACTTTCTACAAAAATAATAAACATATAAAGTTAGATATACAAAAACTACAAATTATACACTATAAACAGACATGATATTAAACAGTGAAAACAAAGCCAAATATGTTTCAAACTAGCACGATATTCACCCAAGTCATTATTCCATCATAGTTCACAAAACATCATATAACATTCCAGAAGTAAGCACTTATATAAACATTTAAAAGGACAACATATAGGTTTAGTGCAGGTTCAAGGACAACATAAAGAGTAGTAGTTTATTCTTGAAACTTAAATTCGCAACACTGTGAAGTTAGTATTTGTCTTTGCTTTTTGGTTAAAGTAATGCAATTCATTCAAGTTTCAATTTGCAGAATAAGAGTAGTTTCTGAAACTTAAAAATCGCAACTCGAAAATTGAAATCGCAACGCAAAACTAAAATCGCGTCGTGATTTCATTTTCGTGTTGCGAATTTAAGTTTCAAAAATTATTCTTCTGCAAATTGAAACTTAAATAAATTGCATTTCTTTAATATAAAGACAAATACTAACTTTATAGGGCAGTATTGACAGCAACCGAATGAATTTACTAAGCAATCTAAGTGAAATGATTATAGATTATATATTAAAATTACAGGTAAACTTATCATCAATATCAGAAAAATCTAATAATAATACAACAATTTAAAATAAAAATAAGAGATTAAAATAACTTCGGTGGTTGATTTTCTATTTATGACCGTAAATGGTTGTGAGGGTTGCTCTGAGATATTGAGATAGACGGATTTCGCAGGATATGGGGACGGATTTCGTCGGAAATAGAGACAGATATCGTCGTAGAGAGTGAGAGATGAAAATGGGACTAAGTTGTGATTTAAGGTTTTAAGTTATGATTTGCGATCACTGTTTACATTTGTGTTTCTCAATTAATATTTTATTTTGAATTCGAAAATAAAATTCACGTTACGAAAATAAACGCACTTTACGAATTTAACTTCTATGTTGCGAATTTGAATTCTATATTGCAAATTTTACTATTATATTGCGATTTAAAAATTTACAAAAATTTGGAAACTGAATTACAAATTAGAAGTTCACATTACGAATTTGAGATCACGTTGTAAATTTATTGTTTTTTTTTTGTAAATCCAAAAAAAATTAATTAAAATCATATATTATAAGACATTTTCAATCACTAAAATTATTTTCTCTATATTATTTAGTATCATTATTTTGATAGAAATCAAGAATTTTAAAGGATGGTATCAAATTCAGTTTCAGGATAATTGCCGTTATGGATGAACTGCTCACAAGTAAGACGGTATCTTCGAGGAGGAAAATTTGAAAAATCAAATGAAATTTTCACATGAAACTTTGGGATGACATTTCATTAAAGATTACAGAATAACTAAACAAAAGCCTGCAACAAACAATTGCGAGAGAATTACAGAACCAAGTCAATAAATTCCTAACCACCGAAACCGTAGAGAGTCCTGCCCTGCCTCTTGAGAGCGTAAACAACATCCATCGCCGTCACAGTCTTCCGCCTAGCGTGCTCCGTATAGGTCACGGCATCCCGGATCACATTTTCCAGAAAGATCTTGAGAACACCGCGCGTCTCCTCGTAGATCAACCCGCTGATTCTCTTTACCCCACCCCTACGAGCCAGCCTTCTGATCGCCGGCTTCGTAATACCCTGAATGTTATCCCGGAGCACTTTCCGATGCCTCTTGGCTCCTCCCTTTCCTAATCCCTTGCCTCCCTTTCCACGCCCCGACATTTTCCCGATAAAATACCAAAGGAAAATACAAAAATACCTACAAAGCACTTTTGTTTGCTTTTATAAAAGTTTGCATGTTTGAGGCGGGGGTATGTGGAAGAGGTTTAAATAGGGGTGTATTTCTCCGGGTTAGCGATGAGAGAGAAGAATATATGCCGTTCGATTTGAACATTATCGACGGTGTATAATAGAGATCCGTGGTTTTTATTTTATTGGTTAAAATTTGAAAGTGGAACGGATGCAAGAGAACATCTGTTTGATTAACGTTTTATCCAACGGTCAGTGTATCGATCCGTGTCATGTGCAAATATGCTGTTTTAAGCCGTCAGATTAAGATCTCATCTGGGGTTTCCGTTTTCCCAAATGATCTGGTTGGTGAACTGTACTGTATCCGGATTTGCTTAGGTGGTATGTTTACGAAAAACCCAATTTCACCCCTGGGATTTCATTTTTCTTCTTTTCCAACCATTGCTAACTTTATATTGTATATTCTAAACCAACTATTCTAACGTAGCTAATTAGATGTGAATATTTGATCGAATCAAGTTAAAAAAATTTTAAATTATTCAAGTTTGTCAGTCTTATTTTATAATTTAAATTTTATTTGAATTTTTTTTGAGTCGAGTTATTTAATTTTTTGTTTAAATTTAATTACAAATATTTATGATGTTATGATAATATTCGATACCAATTTAATTGGTTTCTATAACTATATACATATACTTATATATTTTTTCATATTTTTTTATAAATAATATACATATACCACGTAGAGTTAGATGACTCCACTCAAACTTAACAATCAATCTACTATTAGTAAAGAAATTTGAGTTATTTAAGTTTTATTTTAGGCTTAAGGGCTATTTTTGTCTATGTAATAGACTCAATTTATCATTTTTACCCTTATGATTTTTTTACCTCAATTTAGCACTCGAAGTTGTTTAGAATATTCACCCTAGACCTTGAAGTTTGTTGACAATTTTGACTAACAGAACTGTGAGTCTTTTATTTTTGTGGACTAAAAGGTATTAGATTAAAATATTTATTAAACACACCTGATAAGAAGAAATATTAATTTTTTTTTCAATGAAATTAAGGGATTAGGCCCAATTTTTGGAGATTTTTACTAACGGTTGTATTTAGTAAATATTTTATTATTTTTTAATAAATATCACGTCATCATCAAGTCATGTTAGAAATATTAATTGATATAGAAATTGTTGACGTAGATAAACGCAAAATACTAACAATTATGTAAGTCAAAATGAACTTTAATGGCTAGGATGAATACCCTAAACAACTTCAATGATTAAATTGATGCAGAACAAGCATAGAATCAAAAATGATAAACTGACAAAAGTAACCCATAAACCTCTATTTTATAACTAGACTCAAATTTAATTTTTTAAAGCGAAATTTATAGCTGTACTCAAATTTAATTTTTCGAATCAAATTTTATAACTAGACTCAAATTTGAATTTAATTTCTCGAACCAAATTTTGTTGACGAGTGTAACCACAACATGATAAGGTAGAGGTAATGTAACAATAACAGAGATACAGAGGCGTTGCTATTTGCTACCATTTACACAAGCAAAATAAGTAATTTCAGTCTTGGTATTAATGACTATAATCCAATAACTTTGAAAATCAATTCGCATTACAGTCAAACAAACAAAAATCATAGCAAGAAATTGGCAAAAGCTAAATCATAGATTACACTGTATGATACAATGTCAGTAAAAGCACCAATCACCCCAACTACCCTTTCTACATTGCTACTTCATGTCAACATGAGATCACTCCCAACAAGCTTTGGCCGGAGGCACACCAGTACTTCGTGCTCTTCGGTCACCTCTCTCAGTTTCGGCACCATAATCTCGAGGACAGATCCCGGCCCATCATGGTATGCTTCTATGTTTGCATCTTCGGGGATTCGAGTCGACAATGGGATCTCTCTAACGAATTCCCCAGGCGAGCAATGCTCGGAACACGGATCTGTCAGTTTGAATGTCCTATCATGTCTCTTGATGAACGGCATGCCGGATGTGCTCACACAAGATATCTTTATGATACCATGGGTCAGAGTATTCCTCCATGAGACCTTCACCCTTTGAAGATCAACAAAAGGCAAGCTGACAATGATCAAGTAACCCGCTTCATCTTCGTAGATGGTTTTTGCAGCAGTAACAGGCCCATACACGTTTTTCATTATCCCGCTCACGTCGTTTAACCAGTGTGGCTCACTGGAATGAATTTCCATATCCGACGGAGGAATGGCAGACAGACAGCAATCCTCATCATTTCCATGCGGGAAAAGTTCTTTCCTCCTTTTGCTGCTGACAAGTGATAAGTCCATCCCATCACCATTGCTATGGCTAGGTGGCTGAGTAGACAAATTGAGGCCAGATCCATTAAGCAGCCTTTTCGAGTGAGAATTTGCAACACTCTTTATCGAAGGGAGAGGAACAGGCCTCTCTAGCTCAAAATCCGTGTTCGGAAGGTTCCTCCACGAACTAAAGTCGCTAGCCTCGGGTGGTATTGTAAAGTTTATATCCCTTCCAGTAAGCTCCGTCCACCTTTTCCGATCGTCCTCGCTGAGAGCCATGAGATTCGGCGATGGAACAACCTCGATCCCATGCACACACTGGGGGTTCGACAATCCTCTGTAATGCTTCCGTTGCATCCTGTGTGAACGGACAAATCCCTTATCCACACTAAACGGAAATGGGCGCTCTCCCTGACGAGAATGGCCATTCATGTAGCTTCTGAGCTGCATCTTACCCAGTGCATTCTCGGGTCTCTCCTTGAAAATCCACATGTACATATTCTCCATGTCGTGCTGAACCATAAAAATGTCCAACTTCAGATCCGATTTTTCAAAACCAGAGACACCGTTGCTATCGCGAATAATCTTGCCCTTCGATTTGTCATTCAAAGCAGGCTTAAAGTAAAAACTAAAGAACAACCAAGCACCCCATATGCTATCTACCCGCTTGGCGAATTTTCGTCCTGTCTTGGGTGCAGTGAGGTAGCTCTCAGTCTCATAAACTTGTGAACTAAGACCAACATCCAAAATATCACACTGGTCCGACGAGTTCCACGGCTGCGGGGGAGGGCTACGCTCGGCCGAGAGAGGCAAATTGATGTCGGGCGGCCGAGAAAGAACGATTAGTCTATTCATTTCCAAATCCAATTCATCATGGGAGGAAGCACTTGAATCCATAGATAAGAGAGTGGAAGGATGATGATTCTCCATTGACAAGGCTGTGAGCAAATAATCTCCCGTTTCACGTTATCCGGCTGGAGAAGGTAGGTACTGTTGCTGGTGGATTATTTTATTCCATTGTTACCCATAAACAAAGAATTCAACTAAATAAAAATCTTATAAACACCTCCATCGTCATCATCACCATCATCATATCAATCACCACATGATCTCCCCTCCATCAAAACCCTAGAATTTATCAATCAGAAAGAACAAATATACTAAAAAAACACAGAAATTAACAAAATTTTATCAATTCAATAACCTTGACTATTTAGAAGAATACAACTAAAACAACATTTAAAAGAAGAAAAGAACTTTGTTTAAAAAAATATATCAAAAGCTTTTACTATCAAGCTGTTAAAGAAAGACGATATCTAGCTCTAACCCTAGAATCTCCCGAAATTCCCCAAACACATGTGGGAAAAACTGAATCAAAAACACCAAATCCATAAAAAAGATAGAAAACCCAATTCTTATTTTTCCCTTTCTATGAAATAATTTTTTTTAAAGGACGAGCTTTTTCTAGAAGAGAAATGAAGGTATCTTAAAAAGAGTACCTTTTTTTGGGATAAGCATCGAGGAATCGAGATGAAGAGGGACCTCTATGAACGATTACGATGTTCATCTCCACCAAATCATCATCTTCCACAAATTTTAACACCATTTTCCCCCCTTATTATTCCCTTATCTTCCCTCTACTATACGGTTACACTGTTTCGATCTCTTCCTTTGTTTTGGCGTTAAGGAAAAATGATTTATTTTAAGAACAAAAAAAGATCAAATAACAATGATAAGAACAGCAAACGCAAAGGTTGAAGGTGAAGAGAGAAGCAGAACGGCGAGCACGGTCCAGATATAGAGAGGTTTCGTGAGTAAAAGCCTACACTAGATACAGCCGACTAAAATCGCCGTTACTTAACGGTAACGCTTCACTTTTTCCACTTATTTTTAGAGGTCAATACTCCACAGTTTCCTGCAACCAGGTATTACTTATCTCTTCATTTTTCTCTCCCTGCTTTGCTCTTTTCTTTTCACTTTTCCATATCTTTAATAGCTTGTAAATTAATGAAAAATCCACGTCTTTTAGCTTGGAAGATTATATATAATACTAGATTATCATATATCTATTCGAGTTTTTGACCCACTCCAACTTAGAACTTAATTTTGTTTATATTTACTTTTATTATGTTCGAAGACTTAAATAAAAACAATATAAAGTGAATTATTATTATAATTATTTTTAATATATAATATAAAATATGATAAACTACAGAGTTTATTACTTTTGTTTTAATTTCATAAATGTATGATCGTTCGATTCAAAAGAGTTAATACGTGGTTATTTTTGTTTTGTTTTAATTAAGATGTGGTCACTGAGACGTCAACCTCCGTTAGTTTGATGGCATGACATGTTAGTAAAGGGGTTTAATTTTTACTTTAACTCCTGAACTTTAGATAAAATACTCATTAGGGATCATTTTATAAATTTAAAGAAATTTAGGGGTAAAGTTTTAATTTACCCTTTTTATATGTTTTCTTCTCTCAATCCCCTCTTCTTCCCTCTTCTCTGCAGCCGTGATGACCCTTAGTTTCCAGTTGAGGATGATGCTCCATAGTTTCCAAGCCTCATGCCCGGATGACCCTTAATAGAGGCCATATGAGAATCGTCAATACTAGCAGTCTCCATCTCATGATTGTTACCCGATGTGTCACGTTTGAGAATGTCCAGAGATGGCTGAAGGAACTACGAGACCATACGGATTCTAGTATCGTGATTATTCTCGTTGGTAACAAGGCTGACCTGCGACACTTGTTTGCGACCTACGACTATACGTTTTCAAAATTAAAATAAAAGTGACTAATTCTGTAGTTTATCCTATAAATATAATTATAATATTGCATGAATCAACTTATCTCAACGGTAAAAGGAATCACCTTTACCCCAAATATAATTATAATATTGAACGAATAATTATAGTATTTAGAACATATACAAATTTGTAATCACCTTAACTTAATAAAAAAATAATTATAATAATATTTTAGATCGGGTTATGTTCTTTTATCCTAAATTTAAACTTGACCCAATTATATTTTAAAAAAGAATTAAACTCAATTCGAACTTATTTGGAAAAAAAAATCACCCAAGTCTAATTGAATTAAAATCTATCAAGTTTGGATAAAATATCTATTCAAATAATACCTTAGGTTTTTAGAGGCAAATATTAAAGATGAGTTCAATTTGGGGTTTAAGATTAATTATATTAAAATATGAATTTATTAAGATTTAAATTTAAGGGTAAAGTATAGTAATGGTCACTGAACATTTTTGAAGTTTGCATTTAGGTCCCCCGACTTTTAAAACTTGCAAAACAGTCCTCAATTTCATTCTAAACCCCAATTTCCAAAATATTTCAATTTTATTCTAAACCCTAAATTCCAAAATAATTCAATTAAATTCTAAACCCTAAATTCTAAAATACTTCAATTTAAGGTTTAGAAAATAAATTTATTAATTATTTCAAATAAACACATATTGATATAATATATAATTTATAAAAATTCAGAATATTATTTTACCAGGTCATATTGAACCTAGATCCACATATTTATAATAACATTTCAATAGAAAGACGTTTCAAAATATTATAAAAATATATATTATTTTTTACAAAACACGTGACTTTATGGAATTATGAAAGTGGCGTTGTCTTGATGGAAAAATTTTTGTCAATGCTTTAAGTGAGTTTGTAAAACATTTGACAGAAAAATATAAACCCCCACCCGAAGCATTTTACAACCCATTTCCATGCCTGCGATGGTCCATAGCTGTTTTTACCACCCATCTTCATCACCCCACCTCTTTCGCTTCCTACTCCAATTTTCTATACGTTTTCTCTTTTCAGGCTTCAACAAATTGGGGTTATAAAGCGTTTTACAGCTTGGGACGCCTGTTTATTATGACCATTAATAACTGTCGAAGCAAACTTTGTGGAACGTTAGTAAAATCTAAGCACCATGTTTTACTTTTCGTTTTGTCTCTTGGGATTTCTTTTGTTTTTAACATTTTTCGGAACCAATCAACCTTCAACATAACTTTTCCCTTTGAATCTCCTATATCCTTCTCTTTCTGCTCTCACTTGCCTAAAACAGGCGAACCATTCATATCCAAAATAAGACAAAGCTCTCCAACTGAGGAAACATGGGAGGTTGCGCCACCTAGCCTAAGGTTTTGAAGGGTGACGAAGGGGAGATCCCACCGCCTTCACCGTCCAAAGAGTCGGTTCCCGAAGCAAAGGAGGCTACTGCTGTTGATGTTGTTACTGCTGGTCATTTCCCGAAGCAAAGAGTCGGTAACATCTTTGTCCAAACAGTTAGTCATTTCCATAAAGTCACGTGTTTAGTAAAAAATAATATATATTTTTAAAATATTTTGAAACGTCTTTCTATTGAAATGTTATTATAAATAGGTGGATCTAGGTTTAATATGACCTGGTAAAATAATATTCTGAATTTTTATAAATTATATATTATATCAATATGTGTTTATTTGAAATAATTAAAAAATTTATTTTCTAAACCTTAAATTGAAGTATTTTAGAATTTGGGATTTAGAATTTAATTGAATTATTTTGGAATTTAGGGTTTAGAATAAAATTGAAATATTTTGGAAATTGGGGTTTAGAATGAAATTGAGGACTGTTTTGCAAGTTTTAAAAGTCAGGGGACCTAAATTCAAGTGCCTGAAAAGTTTAATGATCGTTTATATAATTTACCCTAATTTTCTAACGGTAGTTTAAGTTGGGGGACCATATTGCAAACGGAATAAATGTTGGGGGACTATATTGTAAGTTTTAAAAGTTGAGGACCTAAATGCAAACTTCAGAAATATTCAGTGACCATTACTATACTTTACCCTAAATTTAATTATAATATCATTAAATTTATTAAAATATCTTGGATGAATGATAATAAAATTTCTAAATTTTATTATTGTGAAATTAAATGATGATATGATAAGAAAGATGAAGAACATATAGAATAATTTTTACGGAATTCTTTTTAGATTAAGTTAAAACCTATACAATTTTACATAATTCTTTTAACCCTTACCACTCAAGAAGATTGGGTATGGATTTTTCTGAAAAAGAAATTAGACACATAAACACGACTACGTTTAATAGTTGTAAATTTCAACAATTTATTTAAAGAGTGAATACTTGATGTATTAATAATGTTTTTATGCGAATAAAAGCCATTAGCCTTATTATAAAAATAAAAATAAATCAGAATTACAATAAAAGACTGAAAGAGATTGATTCGTTGTCTTTCTCATTGCTAAACCGTGGAATATATACATGATTACAAGAGATCAATTAGGCTACAATTAAGGAAACAAAGATATACATTCTAAACTAATGATACACACTATAAACAGAATATATTGAACATATATTCTAACACTCCCCTGCAGTCTTAGCGGGAGGGTCACGTACGCTAAGGCTATCTCGAAAATCATCGAATAACACTCGCGGAAGACCTTTCGTAAAGATGTCTGCAATCTGATATCGGGATGGAACATGAAGAACTCGTACCTCGCCCTTAGCGACCTTTTCACGAACAAAATGAATGTCCATCTCAATGTGTTTGGTGCGTTGATGTTGCACCGGATTACCTGTCAAGTAAATAGCACTCACATTGTCACAATATACGAGGGTAGCTTTCTAAATGGGACAATGTAGCTCAAGTAACAAATTTCTGATCCAACAAGAGTCAGAAACCACATTAGCAACCCCTTGATACTCAGCCTCTGCACTAGAGCGTGATAATGTCGGCTGCCTTTTGGAGGACCACGAGATCAGGTTGTCCCCAAGGACGACACAGTAACCTGAAGTTGATCTTCTTGTGTCTGGGCACTCTCCCCAATCTGCATCAGTGTAAGAAACAAGCTTGCCAATAGAAGATTTATACAGATGCAAACCGTAGGACAAAGTGCCCTGTAAATAGCGTAAGATACGCTTTAGAGCACCCATATGCGCATTGTGCGGATCGTGCATGTGAAGGCACACTTTTTGAACTGCATAAGATATGTCAGGTCTCGTAAAAGTGAGATATTAAAGAGCACCTGCAAGACTTTGATACTTAGTGGGATCCTCATATGGAGCATCATGAGTGGCACTAAGTTTAGATTTCGTGTCAACTGGTGTGTGACATGAGCTACAGTTAGCCATGCCAACCCTGTCAATGATATCTGCAACATATTGTTTCTGAGACAAAAACATACCATTAGCATTACGAGTCACAACAATCCCCAAAAAGAAACTCAAAGGACCTAAGTCCTTCATTGCAAATTCAGAACCCAACATAGCCATAAAATGCCTCCGCAAGCGATCCGAAGACGCTGTTAGAATGATATCATCAACATATAACATAATATAAGCAATATCAGTGCCCTGTCTGTAGACAAATAAGGAGTGATCAGATTTACTGTGAATAAACCCAATAGTGGCAACAAAGTCTGCAAATCGCTGATACCAGGCCCGAGGAGCCTGTTTTAGGCCATAGAGAGATTTCCTTTATAAACATACATGATCAGGGCAACTTTTGTCGCAAAAACCCATTGGTTGATGCATATAAACTGTTTCGTTGAGATAACCATGTAAGAAAGCATTCTTGACATCCAACTGATGTATGGGCCAAGAGTGAGAGAGAGCAATGCTAAGAACAGTACGAATAGTTGCCGGTTTTACAACCGGACTGAAAGTCTCATCACAATCAACACCCTGCTGTTGTGTCTTGCCATCACCTACAAGACGGGCCTCATGCCGCTCAAAAGAACCATCAGATTTTCATTTATGAAGAAAAATCCACATAGATCTAATAACATTCACATCTGGGGGCCTTGGTACCAAATCCCATATATGATTAGCCATAAGAGCATTAAATTCATCTAACATTGCACTTTTCTAATTCGGGTCACGAATAACACTAACAGGGTCCTTTGGAATAGGGGAGATGTTAGGGGTGGTCATCATGTTTAGATTGTGAAAGTACTTTGTGTTAGGTTTGATGATGCCATTTTTGCTCGGGTGGTCATTTGGTGAGATGGGGTAACAAGCTGTCGAGGAGGGTTGTTGGGCGCAGACTGGTGTAGGGCAGTATGCAGCAAAGGTGTGTGCTGATAATTCAGCCCATTCTGTGATATAGAGGGTGGAGAATGTGGACTAGGCTACTGTGAGCCCTCAGTTTGGGGTGTGACAGTACCAAGTGAGAGACAGCTTGGGCCAGGTGAAGAAGAGGGCCTGTAGGAGGGAGATGGGTCGTTCTACTCATGAGTAGCAGTGGGCTGCTATTGAGGAAATGAGGGTTGAGTGCTTTGCAAATGGTGGAACTGATTTAAAGGATTTGCATCCAGAAAATCATAGTCATATGAATGTGGCATGTGAAGTTTGGAAAATGGAAATTCATTTTCAACAAATCTAACATGTCGGCAGATTATGATTTTTCCATTTGACATATCATAGCACTTTGAGCCGCGATGATTTGGCGCGGGGCCAAGATAGACACAAGGGGTGGACATTTCTTGCAATTTGTGGATAGAAGTGGAAGGAAACAAAGGAAAACATAGACAACCAAAGACGCGTAAATCCGAGTAGATAGGATCACATTGATATAAAATCTGAGTAGGAGATTTAAAACCTAAGACTTTGGTTGGAAGTATGTTTAGGAGGTATGTGGCCATTTTTAAAGCATGATGCCAAAAAGAGAGTGGCAATGAGGCATGAGCAAGTAAGGTCCGAATGATGTTATTGATTGATTTTATGTGTCGTTCGGCTTTTCCATTTTGAGGAGATGTGTGAGGAAATAAGAGACGAAAAATCATGCCATGATGATCAAAGAATTCTTTAAGAGTTCCATTAATATACTATGTGCCATTGTCACATTGAAAAGTCTTAATGTGACGTTCAAATTGAGTTCGGACTAGTCTATGAAAAGATATGAATAAGTGTTTAACTTGGGATTTCTTTGCAATAAGAAATGTAACATCCCCAACCTGTATCCGACCCGAATAAGAATCCGAGGTGTCACATTGACTAGTCAAAGCACATACTTTTATAAAAGAAACCATAGAAAATTTAAAACTTCTATTTTATAGAGTAATTCTTTTACATAAACATGTTTAAAACCTTAACTAACTCCATCAGAGCGTACATATTTAATGACTTAATTACATGCCAACATACCGAATTACATAACAAAACATACTTTACAAAATATTTCTGATATGAACTTTGTAAGGAAAAATGTTGACCTGACTTGCACCTCAACAATCCATAAGCTTGTAAGAACCTGCGTGTGAAACACTCACACGCTAAGTCTACGACTTAGTGAGGCGAATAAATATATAATGAAAACTATAACTTGTAATCATGCAGGAACAACTATTATACTTCATATCTCTTATTTCTTATTCATATGATCTCTTACATTCATATTCTATAACTTATAACAAATTCTTATATCATCATATACATAAGTCATTTATACTCACTCACATATACATCAACATATATTCATGTAACAGATACAATAACCCATATCACACATATATCATATAATGCAATTCATATACATATATCACATACATTAATTTCACAATTATCTCTTTATTAGCCAATGTACACATGTGAGAACTGTAGATATATGAGTCTATTGAGGTTGTGCACTATGTTGTCACCACAACTCGTATAATACCCACTAGGGGCGCTTAGAATTTGTCCCGAATGACCACGTAGATGTCCCAAAGGACTACATATAACACATATGTCCCGAAAGACCTCTATGTCCCAAAGGACCACTATGTCCCGAATGACCGCGTTGACCTTCGACTCTTGGCATGCCAACTATACCTCTAGCTCTCCTAACAGTTAAATGGGCATTCTCTTTTATATCGTTTCACATAGTCATATCTCATATGCTCATAGCTTTTATCATATCATTTCTCATATTCATACATATCATTCATTTATCACATACATAATCTCTATCATATATACATTTCTTCACTTATCTCATAGTTATGTATCATATTACATAATTTAACTTATATCATATTATCATGTGTGCATATATCATGAACACTTAACATGTATCATATAAACATTTATTCACTCATATCATTAACATATGTAACAATCAATAACACACACATAACATATCAAACATATGTTCATATTAATGAATTCATGCATTCTACTATAGGAAATAGACTTGTCACAAGTCTTATTTCCATTAAACATAATACACTATCTA